GGCCTCTACCGGACCCGGCTATAGGCTATAGGACCGTATAGCAGTATAGGCCGCTTAGGGCCTGTCTGTCCTAGGGGTAGCCCGGGCCTGCGATAGGCAGTTAGGGTAGCTGTAGAAATTCGGTTAGTACCGGGCCTATGTTTTCCCCGGAATTGCAGATCTGTCCCTCACGAATTTCCAAACAGGTAGGTCTCTCGGTTAGCCCTCAGCGAAACAAAATTACGAAACTAACCCTACCGGTTAGTGTACAACCTCGCAGTCAATCTCGGCAGCAGAAATCAGCAAGTCATTGCAGGCTTACCCTCCCCGGGAGCGAGGACCTCCGAGCTAGGGGTGCAGACGAGGTGAACGGCGAAGGTCACCCTTCTGAGCTGCCTCATACCGCAGTACAACAGACTTTGCTGTCTTGATCAGGTCTCTTCTGTAGAACCACCGATTCTCAGAAGGGGGCTGAAAAGCGAACCTAACAAGATACTGCCGGTCGGGGCCAGTGCCCCACTCATCCTCAATGGCCACCACAGCATACCCCTTACCAGGGATTGGTGGGCCCCATTGAGGGGGCCGGTCAGGGAATGCATCAGCTGGCGTAAAAGACAACAGTTTGGATGCATGGAAGACCGGATAGGTTCGTAGATGCAGCAGAACGTCGATAACGTACGACAGACCGAAGGGGTCAGCGCCCACTGTATCTAGAACCTGCCACGGACCCAGGTAGCGTGGCAACAGCTTGGGGGAGATATCCTCCTCCCTCGACAACTGAGAACTGGCCACCCAGACATAGTCACCAGTGCGGATGGGGGAAGGCCGCCTGTGGCGGTTGGCTTGTTCAATCATGGCCTTTTGGGCCTTGAACAAGTTCGCCCGCGCCCTCTCCACATCCAGACGATAGCGTCTGGCGAACTCTGCAGTGCCTGGGGTAAGGGCAGGCTTAGCCTTATCGATGATATCATCGAGAGGCTGTCGCGGCTCACGCCCCCAATGTAACCGGTAGGGACTGAACCCTGTCGAGGAGTGGACAGACATGTTATACATGAGTTGTGCTCTCACCAAGTGGAGATCCCAGTCCTGCTGATCTGGAGAGATCACAGGACGCAGCAGCTGGAACAGGACTTGGTTCATCACTTCAGCCAATCCGTTGGCTTCAGGATGACGTCCAGAAGTCATGTCCAGGCGGGAGTGCAAATAGTCCTTGCAGTAGGACTGCCACTCATCGCTGCAAAATTTGGGGTCTCGATCACTCACAATAGAAGTGGGCGGTCCATGGTGAGTGACCCACCTCTCAGAGAAGGCTGTTCTCACAGCCGGTACCCTAGCTACCTCTGGAAAGGGGATGAACTCTGCGTACTTGGAAAACCTGTCCACGCAGACCATAACCTGACGCATGCCACGAGGGGTAGTCTTGCCTAAGTCTGTAAAATCAATGGATACAGACTGGGCAAGACCATCAGGTGTGGGCAAAGGTTTGAGCAATCCCAGAGGAGGTTTACGCTGAACCTTGTTCCTTTGGCAGAGCTCATGGGTATCCACGTAGCACAGCATATCACTCCGCATCTCCTTCCAGAAGAAGCGCTGCGACAGGGCTGCATACGACTTCAAGAACCCGAAGTGTCCACGCGCGTCGTGGCACTCTGACATCAGCAGTGTCCTCAGCTGCTGATCCTCAGGGATGCACAAGCGCTCCTCTCCTCTGCTGTAAGTATACAGCAGRTCTGAACTCAGGGCATAGCCAGGTTCAGAGCTGGGATCTGCTTGCAGATTCCTGACGATGGGTCCATAAGTCGGATCCTGAGGCAGGGAACGAGCAATGGTCTGACGGACCTCCTCTCCAAAGGAATGAGTAGAGGAGATCAACGCAAAAGAGTCAGGCCTACGAGAGAGGGCATCAGCTACCTTATTGTAGCAGCCCTTCTTGTGCTTCAGTTCAAAGTCAAACAAATCAATAAACTGAATGTAACGTGCCAATTTATCATTCAACTCTCCCTGGGACTTCAACCACTGTAAGGTGGAATGATCAGAAAAGATCTTGAAGTGCCTGCCCAGGAGAAAGTGCTTCCAATGTTTCAGGGCACTGACAAGAGCATATAGCTCTTTCTCGTACGTAGAGTCCTGAAGCTTCTGAGTCTTGATCTTCTTACTCATGAACTCGACAGGGCTCAGACCATTCCCATCATCCTGCTGAAGTACTGCCCCAATGCCATACTGACTGGCGTCAGTGGTCAGGACAAATGGCAAAGTGGGGTCAGGTAACTTCAGGACAGGTGCACGAGTCAAGGCCTGATTGAGTCGTGCAAAGGCCATCTGGCAGTGAAGAGACCAAAGAAAGGGAATGTCTTTCTTTGTGAGGTTAGTCCGGGGTGCAGCCACTGCAGAAAAGTTCCTGACGAACTTTCTTTAGTATGAGGCCAGACCCAAGAAAGACCGGACATCTCTCACTGTCTGGGGCTGTGGCCAATCCTGAATAGCCGCAATCTTGGCTGCTTCAGGGGCCAAGCCATCTCCAGAGATTACATGACCCAGGTAGATCACAGAGGGAACTCCAAAAGAGGACTTCTCTTTGTTGATCTTGTACTGGCTGTCACGTAACGACTGAAGAACCAGAGCCAGGTGCTCCGCATGTTCCCTGATAGTTTTGCTGAATACCAGGATATCATCCAGGTAGACAACCATAAACTTATCCAGGTACGGCCTGAAGATGCGGTGCATCTCTGTCTGGAATGTGCCAGGTGCATTGCAAAGTCCAAATGGCATAACCAGGTACTCGTAAGTACTATACCTGGTTTTGAAGGCCGTCTTGTGGACGTCCTCCTCTGCCATCTCAATCTGGTGATAACCATATTTGAGGTCGACTTTGCTGAAGATGGTGCACCCCTGGACCATATCCAGAAGGTCATCGATCCTAGGAAGTGGCTCTGTGCTCTTCCTAGTGATCCTGTTGAGACCCCTGTAGTCTATGCACATTCTGAACTCACCACTCCCCTTTGGAACAAAGAGGACTGGAGCACCGAATTCAGAAGTGTTGGGCCTGATCCAACCCTTGCTGGTCAGGGTCTCAAGCTGTCGCCTGAGCTCCTCAAGCTCAGCAGGTGACATCCTGTAGATGCTGCCCTTGGGAGGGACCGCCCCAGGCAGCAGCTCAATGTGATGCTTGGTTGGCCGGTTGGGTAAGCCAAAGGTCTCCTGCATCACATCAGCATACTGGTCCACAACCTGCTGTATCTCAGGAGGACAGGGAGTGGTAGGAGCGTCTGTCTGCTTGACCAGAACTATGAACAAACGCTCATGGTCATACTGGCGTGAGAGAGCATAAAACTCTCTCGCTCTCAGGCAGAAGCATGATGTCTTAGGGTGGTGATCAACAACAATCATACAAGGCTGATACACCCCCTTGCTGTTTGGCAGCTCAACCTTGGGGATCTGCCAGTCGATCCTTGGGTTGACTGCTCTCAGCCACTGCATAGAGAAGACAAGATCAAAGGGTAGATCAAGGAATACGTAGAAGTTCAGACTATGTCTGACTTCTCCAGCACTATCGAAGGTCACTGGAATACCTCTGACCTTCTCCCTGATAGTTAGAACAGTGGAGTCACCTATCCTGACCTACAACGGTTGCTGCAGCTGTACCACTTTCATGCCCAGATGCAGCTTTTTAACTGCACTGGGGGACATGGAATTTCTGGTGGCTCCACAGTCCAGCAGCCCTTTGATTCTGCTGTGATTGATCAGGGGCCGAAGGAGTATAAGATCCGACTTGTTCTGCTTTTGTTCTTTCAGATGAAAGAAAAAAGCAGCAAGTGACTAACACTCAGATTGATCCGATTCCTGATCCGGGTCAGGATCCTCATAAATGACGGATGCTGCCCGCGTTGTCCCCACACTGGGAAGGAAGGAACTAGTCTCAACTGAAGCTGCTGCAGATGCAGATGCAGGTGCAGCACTAAAGGGAACTGCAGTCTCCAGGTTCAGCTTCAATTTTTTGACTGAGCTGGGCTAGGCATGTAGGGACAGTCCTTGAGGAAGTGTTGTACCTCACACCTCAAGCAGACACCTCTCTCCTTCCTCTTCCTCCATACTCCCTCCTGGATCTTTAAATCATGCCATGGGAGGGTGTTGGGATTGAGGGGGTCTGCAGGAAAATGGACGTCACGTGGCAGGTTAGGGCGTCGGGCAGGGGTTGAAGAGCGACGTCCCTGGCTCTTCCCCTTGCTGCTGGAGGCTGTGCTGGAGGGAGACCCGGCCTTTTGGAAGGCCCCCAGCGCAGCCTGCAGCTGCTGTATGACTGCTGCAACATCCGGGACAGCAGCTGAAACAGCCCCAGCTGGCGGTGTACCAGGCTGGGATCCTGTTTCAGAGGCGGACCCAGAGCCCGTGTATGCAAAGGTCGCCTTTCCCTTTCTACCACCGCGAGGGAAGGCGCCTTTCCTCCTGTCACTGGAGGGGGCCTGAACATGGAGCTTGGCCTCCATGTCCAGTGCTGCGCGTCCAAAAGATCGCCAGTCTTTGTGTCCGGCGCTGTACAAAGCAACACAAAACTTTTCAGGCACAACCCTGCAAAAGTTAGTCAATAAGTCATCAGCAGACATAACCAATCCAGCGGTGGAAGTCAGCTGCTCAAACTCAGCAAATAAGGCCTGCTGACTGCCGCTGTAACGCTGCTGGCCCAGGCGTATTATTTTATGAGCAGCTTTGCGGACTCTCTCGTTGTCTGCAAACCTATCTTCCAGGGCCTGCAAAAGTTTGTCAGCCCCCAGTGCCAATGCCCAGTCCTCCAAAGTCTGTGACTGGGCGCTGGCTGTAGAGGTAGCCCATTTGTGGGCTGGCCCCTCCAGCAGCCCCACCACTGTTGCCACCTTTTGCTGTTCTGGGCACTGGAAGCCCTTGAGATATGCCCGGGTTCCAGCTGCCCAGTCCCCAACGTCAATCTTGGGTTCATCCCCCTTGAATTTGTTGGGGGCAGGGATCTTGGGACCTCGCTGATCCCCAGCAACAACAGCAGCAAAGGTGGGAGGAGGCGTGGCTTTGGCCTGGGAGGTGACAGAGGGAGAAGACTTGTGAGAGGGATGAGGAGATCCAGGGGGTGAAGGAGGTTGAGAAGGCCTCTTGGGTTTTGGAGAGGAAACCACAGGAACCAGGGGACTGATGACGTTGGCTGCTGTTAACTGAGCAGTCAGATTCTGGATAGAATCCAGGATCTTAGACTGCTGAGTTCCCAGATCAGCCACTCTGGTCTCCAGCCGCTGGATCCTCTCATCCTAGTTCATGAAGTGGCTGGCTATTAGTTTGTCCTGCAAAATCATCAGCTCAGCCAGGTCCCTAGTACACTGGGCCACCCAGTTATCTGCAACAATCTTCTCAGCCTGCTGCAGCAGATGCTCCTTTCTGGAAGCATCTGTTGCAGCTTCCAGTTCTGCAGCCTCTTGTCTCTCTGCCTCTGCGAGTAGCGCCTGTTGCTCTCGCAGTCTGCCCTCAATCTCTCTCTTGCGCAGCTTCGCAGGGGTGAGAGGAGGAGGGGTAGGAGTAGAGGGGGAAGCTTTCTCCTCCTCCTTGACTACTACCTCTACCTTCCCTGCACCTGAGTCAGTTGCGTCAGACATTTTCCCTTTTCAAAACAAAAAAAATAATAATGTGAAACAGCAGAAGGTGCAACGATTTACAGTTCCCACAGACACTCAAGATTCGCTGCACTGTTAATTCACAGAGTAATGTGGGTTAGTGGGCACAAGCGGTTAGGGTTGGAATTGAACCGCTGGGATCAGTAATCAGGCTGACTGGGTGTCCAGTAAAGTCATGCACTAACGATTTCCTATACCTGACACTGAACTTTCACTGGAGTTGCAACATGCACTTTCACCGCATTCCAGAGGTCACTAGCATTCCAGAGCCCATCAGAAAGCAGAAAGGATTAGTAGTATTGATGGAGATAGGCAAGAATTGACTGAAACAGCACAACAGGTAGTAGTGATGCAGTAAACTATACCTTGACAGCCCTAGACTCAAATTTCGCCACTGTTGACATCAACAGAAATACCCCCAGATATGGCGAATTTCAAGTTTTCACTGTAATGACCCAAATTCAATGATTCTGGACTAGTGCTTGAGCACAGATGACAGATATCAAATTGTGATTCACCCCAGACTGACACACTTGAATTCTGACGTTCAGATTTTGAGTTGTGACTGACCCTAGATAGCACAGACTATAAATAGACCCAGCGCAAAGCTCAAATCCACAGTATCGCTACCTTTCCTACACAGAATTCACAGTATGATCATACAAGATGCAGCGCAATACTGTCATACAGTCCCAAAACAATTTTGAGTCAGAACAAGTCAATAGATAGTGAGATATGAGTAAGGGTAGGGAGGAAGAAGATGGATATGGATGTCCTGCAGTCTGACAATTTCACGATTGTGACCCTACTGACAGACAGACCATCATTTCTAGTTTTACTGGCTCTATCCTAATCGCTACTCAGGGATTCCCATGGAACACACTCACTTGAATTATTTGACTTAGTGGGTGATGAAGCTCTGGCTATGGCTGCCAGCCAACCTTGCTCTCGCCAGTACTTGCAGACACTCTTCTACAGCTTCCCACGTATAGAATCCCCTGAAGCTTGTTGATCCGCTCCAGTATGATGTGGCGATTCAGTCCCACCTCTCAGATTCATTGAATCTGGCTCAGTGGCGAGAGAAAACTCTCCTGAAGATATCTCGCCACTGCAAGGTATATGCCGTTGGTGCTAAATTTAGCAGGAGGTGATCCTGTGATCAATCCTCCCTCAGCACTGTACTGGGGTTGAAGCCGCCACCCAGTTATCACTGGATTAGGGTGTAATTCGCCACCCTGATCCCAGTCATCAACTGAGGTCAGAAAGGTGGATGGCGAAATACCCCTGTTCTCGCCAATTCCTTTCAGGCACACAGACAGGCTCAGGGTGCCTGATCAATCGCCAACTGATACTCTGCAATCACCGCTTGTATCTCTTCTCCTCCACTGGATCTCTACTGAAGATGAAGAACCGACATGGCACTTCTCGCCAGTTAGGGCCAGAAGGAGAAGCTGCCCCTGTTGCGCTCAACCCTCTGAGCTCCAAGTCCAATCTTCGCTCCGATACCAACTGTTATGAACTTGGTTGTCTGAGAATTCGTTTGCCACTCGCACACAGAAGAACTCACACACGCCCATACATGCATGAGACAAAGGGGAGGAGGAGACAGAGTCCAACTGCACACAGACCAGAGATAAACAGTGGAATAGCAACCATGCACAAAAGGGGAGAATACACACAGTGTTTCTCTCTCCCTGACGTACTCCCAACAACCAATCACAATATGCCACTGCGAAGATCACAATTGGAATATCAGACAGATGATGAGCCAACTCAACTCAAGTAACCCAAATTATTGTTACAGAGTTCAACCCAGTATCTCGCCACCTCAGTACCACACACTCTACTCCCTACTCCACTCCCAGAGTCTAGCGCTGCACTGAAACAGCCTCCCAGAGGCCAGCGCCATACACCCAGATGCAGATCATGAACAGCGAGGTAGTCCCCAGTGCCGATGAGTCACTCTGACGATGAAGAAGGCAGCTATGGCTGCCGGGCTGCTACCGCAGCAGCCTGGGGATAGATGCGCTGAGTACAGCCCCAGCTATGGCTGTCTCAGCTAGGCGGCCTATGGCTGCCTCACACAGCTGATGTCGCAGGTGCCGCTGTAGACATTCAGCGCTGTTAAACTTGGTTGGCCACGAACGCAGTCATGCGAAAATGAAAAGCCAAAAGTCCCCTACTAATTTTCCTACCTGACTTATAGACTGCCTACTCTAACCTAGACCTAGACCGGACTGACTGGACCTACCGGTACCGTTGCTGTTTCGGCCTCTAGGCCTCTACCGGACCCGGCTATAGGCTATAGGACCGTATAGCAGTATAGGCCGCTTAGGGCCTGTCTGTCCTAGGGGTAGCCCGGGCCTGCGATA